TTAATTGTGGGGTTTGTGTTGCAGCAAACATTTTTGTGTGCGAAACTATGAAAGAAAAATATTGAAAACATTTTTTGTGGTACCACTCTGTTCTTAGAATCATAGAATCATAGAATATAAGGGTTGGAAGGGACCCCAGAAGGTCATCTAGTCCAACCCCCTGCTCAAAGCAGGACCAATTCCCAGTTAAATCATCCCAGCCAGGGCTTTGTCAAGCCTGACCTTAAAAACCTCTAAGGAAGGAGATTCTACCACCTCCCTAGGTAACGCATTCCAGTGTTTCACCACCCTCATAGTGAAAAAGTTTTTCCTAATATCCAATCTAAACCTCCCCCACTGTAACTTGAGACCATTACTCCTCGTTCTGTCATCTGATACCATTGAGAACAGTCTAGAGCCATCCTCTTTGGAACCGCCTTTCAGGTAGTTGAAAACAGCTATCAAATCCCCCTCATTCTTCTCTTCTGCAGGCTAAACAATCCCAGCTCCCTCAGCCTCTCCTCATAACTCATATGTTCCAGACCCCTAATCATTTTTGTTGCCCTTCGCTGGACTCTCTCCAAATTATCCACATCCTTCTTGAAGTGTGGGGCCCAAAACTGGACACAGTACTCCAGATGAGGCCTCACCAATGTCGAATAGAGGGGAACGATCACGTCCCTCGATCTGCTGCTATGCCCCTACTTATACATCCCAAAATGCCATTGGCCTTCTTGGCAACAAGGGCACACTGCTGACTCATATCCAGCTTCTCGTCCACTGTCACCCCTAGGTCCTTTTCCGCAGAACTGCTGCCTAGCCATTCGGTCCCTAGTCTGTAGCTGTGCATTGGGTTCTTCCGTCCTAAGTGCAGGACCCTCACTTATCCTTATTGAACCTCATCAGATTTCTTTGGCCCAATCCTCCAATTTGTCTAGGTCCTTCTGTATCCTATCCCTCCCCTCCAGCGTATCTACCACTCCTCCCAGTTTAGTATCATCCGCAAATTTGCTGAGAGTGCAATCCACACCATCCTCCAGATCATTTTTGAAGATATTGAACAAAACCGGCCCCAGGACCGACCCTTGGGGCACTCCACTTGATACCGGCTGCCAACTAGACATGGAGCCATTGATCACTACCCGTTGAGCCCGACAATCTAGCCAGCTTTCTACCCACCTTGTAGTGCATTCATCCAGCCCATACTTCCTCAACTTGCTGACAAGAATACTGTGGGAGACTGTGTCAAAAGCTTTGCTAAAGTCAAGAAACAATACATCCATTGCTTTCCCTTCATCCACAGAACCAGTAATCTCATCATAGAAGGCGATTAGATTAGTCAGGCATGACCTTCCCTTGGTGAATCCATGCTGGCTGTTCCTGATCACTTTCCTCTCATGCAAGTGCTTCAGGATTGATTCTTTGAGGAGCTGCTCCATGATTTTTCCAGGGACTGAAGTGAGGCTGACTGGCCTGTAGTTCCCAGGATCCTCCTTCTTCCCTTTTTTAAAGATTGGCACTACATTAGCCTTTTTCCAGTCATCCGGACTTCCCCGTTCGCCACGAGTTTTCAAAGATAATGGCCAATGTCTGAATCACAGCTGCCAGTTCCTTCAGCACTCTCGGATGCAACTGTTTCAGTATTCTAATTAGGTTGTAACCACCATTGGTGGATTATTATAATGCACTAATGGTAGTTCAGTTCCTTTGCAAATGCTAGTAATAAATACAGGTCTATTTGCCTCAGTAAATAATGTAATTATAACTTTGTTTCCATGGGCGGCAGGTAGGGGAAGCTGGGGGACGCTGTGTCTCCCCAAACAGCCAGGCGTAGACCTGCCCACACTCTGCCCCCAGGGCCCTGCTTTGGTGGTACCACTGGGCTCCAGGGGGTTGGCCACGCTGCCCACCTTCCTGGGGCTGGGGGGGGCTGCGGGCACTAGCCAGCCTGGGGCAGGGGCCAGTGGCCTTGGGGGGGCTCTGGGTTCTGGGGTGCATGGAAGGGACGGGCCCTTTGGTGGAAGGGGCAGGGCTGGGGGGGGATAGCCTCCCCCAGCCAGCGGTTCACATGCTGCCTATGTTTGTTTCTAATGTTGATGTGGGACTTGTTAAATAATGTGGCAGAACCCAGGCTAGAATGTGTAAGATCATTAAAAGCAAACTACGGCAACATTAATGTAGTATTGATAGCGACAGTGTTTTACAATGTCACCATGTGTATCGGTTGGTTATCTGTGTTATAAATTGTTAAACATAATCAAATGAATGCAAATATAAAAAATCAGGTCCCAGCTAAGTACAATGATGAGTCAAAAGAACCCAAAGTCACTTTGTTTTATTGCGTTACAGCCTGTGTGGCAATATGGCAATATTGTATCAACAGAGCAGTAAGGGCAATGTACATCATTACTATGAATAGATCATTTTGATGTTTTAAGCCTGGAATCCTAATTTTAAAACAAACCAAATGAAAGTGGAGGAAGGTTCCCCCCGAGTTCACTGTGTGCCTGCGAGAGAAGGACAGCATCTCTGAAAGGGCACCATCCTGGGTGACCTGTGAAGAGAGAAATAACGCCATGGGCTTTTTTCTTCTTGCTCCTTCAGATGTGGGAAGAAGATGTTAGAGGGCTTCCCCTTTTGTTGAGATAGAGCTTTTCTCTGCTTGTTCTTTTAATCTGACCAGTTGGGTGCTAGTTGGAAAATCTGAGCCTTGGCAATCAATCCTTGCCTTCCCAGATTTTTGGCAGACTGCTAGGAGAAAACTGGAGTGGGTGATTCCTCAGCTAGCAGGGGGTGAATCTCTTACACAGACAGCTCTTCTGCCAAGTCTGAGTTAGAGCTTTGAACAAAATAGGCTATTGATGCAACCAGCCTGCAATGAGAATCAGCTCGGCAGCCCCTTTGGCATTGCGGATAGAGACAGGTGCCTCGGCATGTGATTGAAATCTGAGGCCAAAGTGTAGAAGTCCCAGTCTGTGCTTTCCTGTGATATAATCCTGCTAAATTCTCCGCCTCCCCACGGGACCCCCTAGCAAAACTGGAAGTCAGGAATCAATATTTATAATGGAAAAAATGAAAAAAATCAAGCATCATAAACAAACAGCCAATTTTCCCTTTCCAGTCACCTTTCATTTTCCATCCCAAGCAGACCTTCAGCTGTGCTCCCTTCACTTCCAGTGAAATGCTTTTCCTATAAAACACAGACAATTTCCATTGGGAACGTCCCATGTGTGGTTTCCTGCCCACCGGCTTGCCTTGGTGAAGTCTGAGGTCAGTGGGCTCGCATGGCGCGCTGTGGCGGTGGGGAGCTGAAACAGGAAATGTTTTCCCCACTCAGATATCTTAGTGATGTTGTAAAACGTGCCTCCAAAAATGACTCGATGCATCAACTCCAGTGCCAGCTTATTTGGAGTTATTCACTTCTGGGAATGGGACCTTTCAAAATATATATATTTTTTGAGGGAGTGGGCGGGGTGCAGGGAGAAAGGCAGAGCTGCTCAAAATGGGTCTCCCCCTCCCACCCCCATAGAAAATTTCCAATGACAAGATTGTTGTTTTTGTTCAAACTGCTTTGAACTCTGAAATATTTTTTTTGATGGAAAAGTGCAATTTTTCCTTTATTTTGATCGGGAAAAATCCCAGTGTCTTTTAAAATGTTTTATCTTTCCACTGGGAGGAGGGAATTTTGTTGACTAAATGGGGAGTCTAAACTTTCTCACTTTACTGTTTTTTCCAATTAAAAAAAAATTGCTACTTTGCTATTTGATGTCATTTAAAGAGAATTAAAATGGAAGTGGTACTTTAAAACTTTCATTCTTTCACTTTTTAAACATTCTCTCATTTTAAGTTTAAAAATAAAATCTAGAGAAAATGGGCCAGTTAATGATGGGGAATTTAAAAACAAAGTGTGCATTTTCTGACTATTTTGAAAGGAAATTTTTTTTAAATACTGAAAATATTGCTTTCCCCCTAAAAGTATCAGAGGGGTAGCCGTGTTAGTCTGTATTCACAAAAACAACGAGGAGTCTGGTGGCACCTTAAAGACTAACAAATTTATTTGGGCATAAGCTTTCAGGGGTAAAAAACCAGGATTTTTTACCCACAAAAGCTTATGCCCAAATAAATATGTTAGTCTTTAAAGTGCCACAGGACTCCCCCTGAAAGTTAGTTTAGAATTAAAAAATAAAATTGTCAAACTATTTTTTGTGCGTGTGGAAGGTTTAGTTGGATGAAAACTTTTGTGTGTGTGGCAAGAGGTGTGGGAACAGTTCTAGGTGTTGGCCTTAGTTCACCCAGCAGCAGTGTGTCTGTGCTGGGATGTGCTCTTGGGAGAGGTCTGTGCCATGGTTACTGTAAGCCCATCAGCCACGCTCTGCTGGGACAGGCAGGTTACAGACTCTGCCGATTTGACTAGTATGTTGTCTTGTGTTTCAGAGGGTCTGTCTTCACTGCTCTTACCCACATGTTGTACCCCCTGTCCATACGCACAAAATCCTCTCTCCTGAGCTCTGTAGGGGTTTTAAACCCAGGCGGGTTAAAGTCCTGGTGCTGCTTTCATTCAGGGTGCTAACCTGCCCCCTTTGCAGTGAGGACGCAGGTTAACCCACTGCAGTGCTGATAGTCCTCCAGTGCCTTTCCACAATGCCCCCATGGGCCCAGAAGGTCAGAAAAATTCTCTCTCAGTGCACTGGGGGGAAAAAATCCTAGAGCAGCTCAGTTTGCTGCAGCACAAAGCACCAATGGCATATGTCTCCTGTAGTCCTAACGCTTGTGGGGGAGGGCGGCACACCATCAGGACACAGTAACTCAAGTCAGGATTTGCATTGTGGTGGCTAACACCGGGGCTAGGCTAACCCCAAGGGCTCAGACCTTGGGGCTCACCCCACCGTGAAGATGCACCCCTTGACCAAAGTGTTCCAGCGTGTCACGACACCTAGAGCTACGGCCAAAGGTAGGAGCCAGGCCTGCAAAGCCTCACGCATGGGAGTCGTCTCATTGCACACACTGAGACCACAGGTCTGTCCAAAGCTCTGCAAAATTTTTCCAGCGACCTTCAGTAGCTACTCACTGGATTCAGAAGCTGGCTCCAGCTGGTAATCTCGCTCGAGGGAGATAAAATCATCTACAGCCCATTGTCACACGTGTTTTTTAAAAATGTTTTCTTAAAAAAACAACTCAGGAAATTCCTAGCCTGCTCTTTAGTCACAAGACCCTCACAGCATCCCTGTGAGACTGGGAACGAAATGGGAATGACATGTATTCATCCCCTGGAGCGTAGCCTATGTCATAAAGATTTTGTCTGTTGGTTACGTCCCTGGGGTAGCCCAGCGAAGCACTTTTATTGCTGAACAGAGTTGTTTTAAGACTGGCCCAGAGAAAGGGGCAGTGAAAGGGCCAAGGAGCACAATACAGTCAGCTAATATAGCTTATAAATAGGGCCCTACCACATTCACAGCTGTCAAAAACGTATCATGGACTGTGAAATCTGGTCTTTTGTGTACTTTTACCTATATTATAAAAGTACCCTATACAGAAGTACACAGCTTTTCCGCAGCTGGGGGCTGCAACCCAAAAGGGGGTTGCAAGGCTATTGTAGGGGGGGTCACGGTGTTGTCACCGTTACGGCTGTGCTCTGGCTGGCGGCAGCCCTGCTTTCAGAGCTGGGTGCATAGCCAGCACCTGCTGCTCTGTGGCCACCCTCTACAATAGCCTTGTGACCCCCTTTAGGTAGGGACCTCCAGTTTGAGAAATGCTGAATCTTAAGGGCTTTGCATGTTTATATTTTGCTGTTTTTAAATACATATTCATGTTTGTTACAACACCATGGAATTTAAGATTTAAATACCTGAAATACCTTTAAATACCGTGATATTCAAGATTTTTTAAAATGCGATGATTGTGCAAGTTATGAAAATGGACCGTGAATTTGGTAGGGTCCTAGCTATTGGGCTTGAAGCAACATTTAATTAATGGAAGGCCTACGGACGGTGGTACGTAGGAGATCAGACTACACCGTTACAATGTTCTGACCTAAAACGCTATGAAAGGGGCACCGTCCATTTAAAAATTGGGCCGACAGTTTTTTTTTTTAAACTTCTTCCAATGGGCTGTGGCCACAACAATTTGCTAAGAACAATCCCAACAGCGTTCTGCAGGTGTAAGAGTGCACGATGCAGCTGCCACTTCTCGACCATTTCCCCATTAGGGCTCGCCTGGGATGCAGCATGGGGGTGGCAATGGACGTGGAGGATACATTCACTGTGCTTCTAAAACTGCCTCCTGTGGCTTTACCAGCCCCTCCTCCCCCAAAAGCCCCAGGCCTTCAAAGAAATGTGGAGTCAGATGCAAAATATCACAGAATCGGTTTAAAAACTCATTAGATTTAATAAAATAAAATAAATTAAGACAGAGTGATTTGCCCTCTGGCGTTGTAGCCAATAGGGTTTGAGTTTCCTTGATTTTTCTCTCCAGTCATTGGACTAGACCCAGATTTTCTTTTTATATATAAAAGCAGAGCTGGGGCTTTAAGAGACAAGACCACAGATCACGAGTTGGTCACACCAGAACCTTTTTTCTCATTTTAATTCCACACAGAGGGAGATTTCTAGAGCTTCTTTTACACTCCCTCAGCTCAGGGCCCAGTCTGAGAGTTTAAAATTCACCCAACTCTCCCTTCCTGGTGCCTGCCAAGATTTCAGCCTCCTCTCTCCCCCGGCCCCGAGAGAGAGAGAGGTCTGTGCTTGCATTTTACACGCCAGCCACTTGCTCTGCCAGCTCCGGTCCCGCGGTGCCAGAAGTGCCTTCGTGCTGCCTGTCCTCTCCGTGCTGTTCATGCATCCCACGCCAGGCCAGCTTCTCCACTGCTGCCTAAGTGCAAGCCTATGGCCTTGGCATTACTTCCCTCCTGCACATTGATGGGGTTTCACACCCAGTCAGTGGAAAACCAGCTGAATGCATGTTCAGAGAAGCCAGCCCGGACCCTACCGTGCAGTGATGGGGCTCCTCACGGTCTGTTCCCCCTGTGAGCCATCCCTGCCCCTGTCACGCAGTGACATGAGAGGATTCCCCTGCTGTCTGCGCTCCCGTGTGCCTGGTACATGATTGGGGCCGGCTCTCCCCTTCCCCGTGGCCAGCACGTGATTGGGGCCGGCTCTCCCCTTCCCCGTGGCCAGCGCGTGTTTGGGGCCGGCTCTCCCCTTCCCCGTGGCCAGTGCGTGTTTGGGGCCGCCTCCCCCCTTCCCTGGGGCAAGTGCGTGTTTGGGGCCGGCTCCCCCCTTCCCTGTGGGCAAGTGCGTGTTTGGGGCCGGCTCCCCCCTTCCCTGGGGCAAGTGCGTGTTTGGGGCCGGCTCCCCCCTTCCCTGGGGTAAGTGCGTGTTTGGGGCCGGCTCCCCCCTTCCCTGGGGCAAGTGCGTGTTTGGGGCCGGCTCTCCCCTTTCCTGTGGCCAGTGCGTGTTCAGGGTTGGCTCTCCCCTTTCCTGTGGCCAGTGCGTGTTCAGGGTTGGCTCTCCCCTTACCCGTGGCCAGTGCGTGTTCAGGGTTGGCTCTCCCCTTACCCGTGGCCAGCGTGCGTTTGGGGGCGGTGCTCCCCTTCTCCGCAGCTGATGTGTGGTTTGTTGCTACTTTGTCCTTCCCTGCCCTCAGTGCATCTTTCAGAGCGACTCGCTCCTCATGCACGGCTGGTGCAGCTGGAGTCGGTGCTCTCTTCTCCCCCACAGCGGGCACATCTCTGTCCTTTCCTGTGCTCAGCCTGTTTATGAGGGCAGCTCTCAACTCACCCAGCCCAAGTGTGGGGGTTACCCTTTCCTTCCCTGCGGCCAGCGTGTCCTTTGTTGCCAGCATGCGTTTGGGGGCAGCTATCTTTTCCCTGGCCAAAGCAACTTTCTGAGCTGCTTTGTCCTTCTCCCCCTCTGAAACCACTTCCTGGGTGGCTCTGTCCTTCCCCACTGTGGGTGCATCTTTCCGGGCTGCTCTTTCCTCCCCTGGAGCTGCTCCATTTTGAGGCATGGCAATCCTCTCACTCAGCCCAGGAGTAGGGGCAGCTCTCTCCTCCCCCCTGGCTGCCCCATTTTTGGGGCTGGTTCTCTCCACTGCTGTGACTGGTGTTTTTCTGGGGGCAGCTCTATTCTTGGTGCAGGGGCTTGCGTGGGTGCGTCGGTGTTTGACCAGGTGTGAGGCCTGGCTGAAGCACTTGCCGCACTCGGAGCAGGCGTAGGGGCGCTCACCAGTGTGGACGCGCTGGTGCTGCACCAGAGTGGAGCGATCGCTGAAGCGCTTGGTGCAGACGCTGCACTCGTAGGGCCTCTCGCCGGTGTGGGTGCGCTGGTGGATGATGAGGTTGGAGCTGTGGTGGAAGCTCTTGCCGCACTCGAAGCAGGCGTAGGGCTTCTGGCCCAGGTGGATCTTGCTGTGGGTCAGGAGGTTGGAGCTCTGCGAGAAGGCCCGGCCGCACTCCCCGCACTGGTAGGGCCGCTCCCCGGTGTGGGTGCGCTGGTGCACGATCAGGTTGGACTGCAGCCGGAAGCTCTTCTCACACACCAGGCAGTGGAAAGGCTTTTCTCCCGTGTGGACACGCCGGTGCCGCTGCAGGTCTGAGCTCTGCCTGAAGTTCTGACTACACAAGGGGCACTGGTAGGACTTCTCAGAGGGGGGCGGGCTCTTGCTGGGAGGGGAATCTTGCTCTGCTGGCTCCTTGCTGCAGGACTTAGCCAGGGATGGCAGATGGGGCAGCTGGATAGGGGGTGTCTGTTCCCTGCGTACAGGAGGGGGTGGCTGTGCCCTGTGCATGGGGGAGACAGGCTGTTCTCTGCTCAGGGGAGGGGGCAGCTGTTCCCTATGCACGGGAGGGACAGGCTGTTCCCGGCGCAGGGGTGGGGGTGGCTGTTTCCTGCGTACAGGACGGAAAGGCTTTTGCATGTGCACAGAAGGAAGCGGCTGTTGCATGGACATGGGACAGGTGGGGAGCTGCTGTTTCCCACCCTCAGAGGGGGCTTCTGGCTCTTCTCCTTCCAGAGAGGGTTTCTTTCTCTTCCGGCCAGGGCTCTGGGGCGCTTTCCTCTTGGGCCACCTTGGTGAGGCCTTGGGTGTTGGAGCTGCTTTGACAGGTGCCTCCGCCTCCCCGTGGTGCGGCACAGCCAGCTCCTCAGCGTCCAGCCCCCTCCCGGTGTCTGCGGGGACCAAGGGAGAAGTGGTGCGTGAGCTGGGCCCCAGGTGCAGGGGGAAGCCAGCAGAGAGATCTAAACTAACACTGCCTGGAACGTGGAATTCAAAGTTCACAAAAATATTTGAGTTTTTGGAAAAAAGTTTGTCCCGAATTGGCACAAAAACCCAAAAACTGGAAATTTTCCTCACAACTTGGACCCCGCAATACTTCCTTTGGGACACACTGAGCTGCAGGAACGTTTGTGTGTGTGAAATGAAATGTGCTCCCTGGGATTCCCGGCTGCCCGTTCAGGCAGGTGCCGTGGAGTCAGGAGTGCTTGGGAGCCCCGGCTCCAGGGCAGCCACCAGGCCAGCTGCTGATGGCCCCGGGAGCTTGGGAGCCGGGTATCCCAGTGCTTCCAGGCTCCTGGTGCCTCTGTAGTTCAGAAACCCCAGGCCAGGGGCAGCCCTCCTGGGGAGCTGCTGAAGCGCTGGGGAGGGGCTAGCTGGCGAGACACCAGGCAGGTTTCTGTCAATCACCGGCCTGCTTTCAGCCCAAATTCTGTCAGAACTGAGATGTTTCAAATTCGGCAAATCGTCATTTTGTGGTGGAAAAAATCTCCAGCCAGCTCCAAAGTAACCCCGTTATCTAAACCAGGGCAAACTGCCACCTGGAGGTGCCTACTTTGGTTTACCCTTAACCTGTTACCATGTGCATGGAACTGAACCAAAACAAGCCTGGTTAAAACCAGATCAAGGACGTCCACACAGCCCAGTGCAGCTGTTTAACAGACACGGGTTATATTAAAGTGTCTGTCTATCTCTGGTATTGACAGGCCCCACCCAGCACCATAGTATAAAAGTGCCTCACAATCCTGAATGTGTTTATCCACATGCATGCCTGGGAGACAGGGCAAGGCTGTTCTCCCCAGTGTACAGATGGGAACCGACACACACAGGATCTAAGTGACTTGCCCAAGGTCACGCAGGAGTCTGTGGCAGCACCCAAATTGGACAGTGTAGCTTGGGGAACCAGGAATTCATGGCTCTGCCTCCCCCATGGTTCAGTGGATCTGACCGTGGGCACTGTGGGAGCTCCTGGCTCTGTGGCTAAGCTCTGCCATGGCTCAGCAGACGCAGCCAGGGGGCATTGTCCTGGGAGCTTGTGGCTGGGATCCCAGGATTTTGCTTTCTGAGCTGGCTGATTCATCTCTCACCTGTTGGGACATCCCTCTGAGTCTCCTGCTGCTCAGGGGCTGAGGGATCTGGGACGCACAGCACCTCCTCTCGCTCCAGCTGAGAGATCAGGGCGGGTTTGCGAACTGGAAAACCTGCCCATAGGGAAGAGAAAAGAAGCCATCAGGGCACAGTCAACGAGCCCCAGGGCTTGGTACAAAGGTCCCTCTCTGCTGGGGAGGGGACGATGGGGAAGTTGTACGGCTAGTGGGAGGAGGGGCAGGCACAATCCCAATGGTGACAACTCTGAACCCACAGAGACAGACCAGAGCACTGTCCACTGGAGCAGGAACCCCAAGCTCACACACGCAGAAAATGCAGACAATGCATGCGGATGTACTCGGACAGGGACTAGGCCCTTTTAGGAACTCTGGGGTGGAGTCACAGGTTCGAAGGCCAACAGGGCCCACACTCTGACCAGACAGTTTGGCCTTCTGCACTGAGCTGGTTGGGAAAAATTCTACAAAGAAAAGTTTCCTTTGGAAAATGTCATTTCAAATTAAGGAAATTTTTCACAAAAACAAATAATTTTCAAAATGAAAACTTTTTGGAAAATGTAATTTAGGAAAATTCAAAACAGAAATTTGTTTTATTTTCATTTTTACATTCTTTTCACATTATTTCATGACAGGTCACTCGGTGAGGCGCCTCATAGGACATAGATCAGAGTCTCTTCTGTTTGTGCTGTGGTTGTTTATTTATTTATTTATTTATTCTTTCTATTACTGTAGTGCCCTAGGAGCCCCAGTCATGGAGCAGGACCCTATTGCGCCAAGCACTGAACACCACACAACAAATAGACAATTTGTACCTGAAAAAGCTCGCAGTCTAGTACATGACAAGAGACAACAGATCTATGCAGATAGACAGAGGAATACAAGGAAACAAGGAGGCAACATTATCTAAATAGACAAGACACAAGGTTGGGGAAGGGGTAAAACTGAGAGAACAATGTGATGGCAGGCAATGTCATGATAGTTCTATGATTAGATTCATCACAGGCCCTGGTTTCAATGCGGGGAATTCAATCACCCTGACGTCTGCTGAGAGCAATACAGCAGTGCACAGACAATCCAGGAAGTTTTTGGAGAGTGTTGAGGACAGCTTCCTGGTGCAAGTGCTGGAGGAACCGACTAGGGGCCATGCTCCTCTTGACCTGCTGCTCACAAACAGGGAAGAATTGGTAGGGGAAGTAGAAGTGGGTGGCAACCTGGGCAGCAGTGATCATGAGATGGTTGAGTTCAGGATCCTGACAAAAGGAAGAAAGGAGAGCAGCAGAATACAGACCCTGGACTTCAGAAAAGCAGACTAAGACTGCCTTAGGGAACTGATGGGCAGGATCCCCTGGGAAGCTAATATGAGAGGGAAAGGAGTCCAGGAGAGCTGGCTGTATTTTAAAGATGCCTGTTTGAGGGCGCAGGAACAAACCATCTCCTCGTCTTTCTTTTTTAGGTATTACTTTGTTTTAAGGAGGTCAAACATCAGCCCAACACAAGGCAGATGCAATTTGAGAATTATCGACGCCTACTGACATAACTTCTTTATGATCTTTTCTAGGGTTGGTATGACACCATCAAGACTTCATTCCTAACTTTGCTTTCATTGCAAGTCCACTGTATAACTTCTGAAAGAAAAGGGATTGCTTGGACCAGGACAGATCAGATCAGTTCAATTTGTAAAATTGAAGCGAGTAGTAATTCAAGCATCTGTGCTGATCACTCCAGATCCCAGCAAACCGCATCACTTAAAAGGTCTCTGAGTGCAATTGCACTTGCAACAGTAGCTTCTAAAGAGTAATGGAAAAATTTAGGCCAATAGCCTATGCTCCAAAAGAATGAGCCTAGTGGAACTTAAATATTCCACTTGTGAAAAATATTTATTGGTCACTAGCTGGACAACCAAGCATTTTGCATTTTTAATTGGTTTAAACCCAGTAGCTCTACATTTCACACACACACCCCTCTCTAGTTCTTGCTTTCTAATCGAATCAAGGATGGACAGATGTCTAATGCTCACCTAGCACACTGAACTTTGCTATTGCATGACAGAGGTATAAAAATAACTCCAGCATGGACTCTATCTCCCCTGCTGGAAGCCCTGTTGTATTCTGGGAACCCTCATGTGTGCCCAGATGTTAATCCAGGGAAAATCTGAACCCAGATTTTCACATCAATACCTCCCAAAATAAAAATCACAGAACCTTATTATGATCAGAAGAAACCAATATCTTCTTGTTATTGATCCACTCTCCAAATGGGTGAAAGCATTTCCCCTTGAGGCAAATGCTCCTTTAGCCACAACAACAAGACGTGGTGAAACAAGTCTTCTCTCATTGGAAACTCCCTGCTAGGGTAGAGTCCAGCAGAGGAACACATTTTACTGGGCAAGTGTTCCAAAGATGTTTACAGTTGTTGGGAGTGCCACAAAATTGCACATTTCACATAGACCTCAATCATCAGGGATGCTAACGAGAACAAGTTGCACCATCAAACGAATGCTGCGGAAACTGGTAGATGCCAATGGATGCAGTAGGAATACCCTGATTCCACTCATTTTAACGGCACTCAGGGCAACTCCCACTGCTTCCACAGATCATACACCCTTTGAGGTGATGACTGGGCAAACCACGTGAATGCCAAAGCATCTTTTGTGGCATACCAGTGGCACACAGCTAGAGGAAGTCAAACTGAAAACCTATGTGCAAGCATTAAAAAACATTTAAATCAGGTTCTCTTGCAGGTAGCTATCAAATTGGGAAAATCCAAACAGAAGGCAAAGGTTTATTTTAATAAAGGAGAAAGAGAGAATGCTTGGGAAATTGGAGATCAGGTGGTAATATGCTGTATCAGAACACAATTTATGTAACCAGTGAACTGGGCCACATTATATTATAAATGGACTCCGTTTCCTCTGTATAAAGAATCAGAATCAAAAAAAGGTAGATAAATTCTATCATGTTAATAGAATTAAAGTTGTACCTGAAAAGAAATATTTCTCCACAGGCAGAAGAACCAGAGATGTTGACAACAAAAGAGGAAGTAAAGGATCAGAGAAAGCCAGGCCAGTAGAGGGAAAAGAAAAAAATGCATGTCTTAACTTTGATGCTGTATTATTGCCTTAATACTGCACTTCAGACCAAACAGACTCTTCCAGTACAACAAGAACCAAGAATAGTCAAGGCAAATCAAAATTTTATGTTGGAACTAAGCTCAAACTTGCCTGTTGTGCAGGATGCAAATTATAACAGTGATCTGGGCTCAAGAACGGATAAAACCAGATTAAGATGTGAAAGATCAGCGCTTTTCAACTGAAATTTTCTTCAAATGGAATTATCAGCCAGCACAAGGACAATTTATAATTACGACTTGGGTTAAAATATTGTTTTCAGCATGAACTAATAGCACAGCTTTGAAAATACATAAGGTACAAAGTCATACATCAGGTCTGTATAGATTGGGGTATGGTTAGCATTGACGGATAAGTGAAAGTTTGTATTGTGGAAAGGATTTTCCACTGGAGATACAAAAACAAAGAAATTTAGTCAGTCAAATGCTTCTTCCAACCACTCATAACAAATCTTATCAAAAGGTAAAAAAGTAATAGATAAGAAACTTGTTCTTAAATACAACATAAAAGGGAATGAACACATGCCTTATGTAGATTGGGGAAAAACATCTCTCCCTTAATTAAGAAATCCGGGGGGAGGATATAAAACATATTACAAGTGAAGATAAATCTTCATCAATAAGTGGTGGAATCCCATATGGATTATGGAAAAACAAAACCAAATGCCAAAGCTCAGTAAAAACTGAAGCGTCGACCAGATACATATATATAACCTAAATTATAAATATAAAGGAGAATATGAAGCTTGTAGCCAAATTAAGTCTTCGGGTATTGTAAAAGTTATTAATAAATATTTTAAAGTAAAAGTACAAGCCACAGTAATGGAAAAGACCATTATTCACAGAACCTTGTGAAGTGTTCAGTTTGCAAGAAGGCCCTGTTAGTGGTCTCACAGCTACGTCTATACCAGGGGTATTAATTAATCAAGTTCAGTTTATTCATATCCCTGTTGTATGAAATTTATCTAAATTGGTAAATAAGTGAATTTAGTTATTGTAAAGATATTAAGGTTGCAACTTTCTTTTCAGTACTTCTCATTGATAAGGTTAGTTTTGAACAGTATCACAGGTTTATTAGTTCAGAGGTGCTAATTTGAAATAAGGTTAATGTTAAAAGAATCATAAGGCATATCAATTATGTGATTAAAAAAAGAAGCTAAAAAAAGTAATTAACCCCATGTTAAAGGAATTAAAGGTTTAGCAAAATAAAAAAATTATTTATGGTGTATAATATGCAGGAAATAACCAAATTGTTTAATGAAACTCAAAATAAGATGGATCAGTTGATAAATATAATAATGATCAGGGAAAAATCATTAACTTGGAAAAGAAATTATTTGTTCATTATATAGTGAATATGTAATAGACACTATTAATAATACCTATTAATTCTTGGAACTAAGAAAAGTACCCAAATTAATCAGAGATCAACAAATTTTGAATTGGTATTGTCCACATTGTATTCAAAACATGGAGAAGAGAAAGTCGAATGCCAAACCAAATATATTTAAAAAAAAAAAAAATCTTTTGGTTCAAATAGAAACTTGGGATCTGTGAAACCACATCCAAATGATGACACATTATTTAAATGAAACCTGTGACATTTTATGATCCATATGCCTCGTTCACAGTATCATTGGTCGTATTCGATCCAGATAAGGACGTATGTGATCAATTGGCTTTCCATTCCATAGGCCACCTAGAAGATGATATCTATAAGAAACAAATGCAAATACCTGCACTGGTGGTGTATCACCAAAATGCCCAGATATGGAAAGTCCCATGGATTGCTTCCTGCTCTCAAAAGGTGCATCAATGGATCTGTAGGTATAATGTGTTTGATGTAACAACTCCACTGTGTCACCAGCTGGAAAGGTACCAACGCAATGCACACGGGTATCATGTGCAGTGCAACTAACCAAATAGAAATCTTTTACGAAATATGTGGCCTACAGCAAAAAGGAATAATATTGTGTAGTAACTAGTCACAAGAAATTCTATTATGGTCATCTTGGATGTATGGTAACACATCCAAATTTTCGTGTTAAGCAACAAGTACCCACAGTTATTGGGCACACGACAATATCTCCAATGTTTTCGAAAATGAAACAGTTATTCTTAGCAACCCAGATCACCGGGATCTCATTGAACGGAGCACTCCAGTGCTTCATGCATATAAACCATTAAACTTTACAGCTAAAACAATCGTTAAAGAAAAAAAATGTGCAATTAATTAAAATTAGGAATAACATAAATAAGACAAACCAAGCACTGTCTGAAATTTTTGACAGTAGCAGCTCATAAGGTATTCATTGTATCAAGAGAGATGAAAATTGGATGGAAAAAAAGGATTATTGTCTATAGTATTCTTACTATGTGTACTATTGTATTAATCATGGCTGGATACTGTCATGTAATATATATGTGACAGGGCTCTTATTGTCCAATCATCAATTATAATGAGATAACACTCACCCTGTCGGGGGTGGGGGGAAGAAATGTAGCCAATGATTTTAGTTTATCCATTTATTGTGTGATGTTATGATTAATCAATGTTATATTACATATATTCATTGGAAATTAATTTGTAGGATTATAAAAGTATAAAATCGATCGGTATTTAGAGGAACCAAGTAAGTAAGTAAGACAGACAAACTGAAACACAAGAACCTGTAGGTTGAGGCCTGCAAGACTTTAGCTTAGCCATTTTGGGCCTTGGAGACAAGAAATGATGACTCAAGCCAATGACCGAGAAATAACCTAATGCCCTAAGGTTATGGGAAAAGGGGCACCAAGTGGTAACATTGTGCAAAATTACCCAGAAGGTTAATATTAGATCATAAAAATACTGTAAAGGCGTATCTGTCTCAGACATGTGTCTTAACCATGGGATTCAGGTTGTGAGTTGATACTAATGAGAACAAAGGGAACCTACCCAGCCTATAGAAAATTGGGGTCCCTTAAGTTTCCAGGGGACACAGACCAATAAGAGAAAAGAGGGTTGACACTTTTATGGACATGCGCAGAATGTAGGTATAGACAGAATCACATTATAAAAAGGGGATGCCCCGAACGGGAAAATTAAGCTCCCTCTGGGAGGCTCCAGCAGGAACCATCCCTCTACTGATGACTAAGCCATGAGAGACCCATCAGACCCTGCAGGCTTGGCTAAACTTGCGAGTTACAGCGCAATAAAGGAGCCCCGGGCGCACTAGCTCACTGCCTGGCCACACTGGCGGGGCACTTAGAGCGCTCTGACTCCGCGGCTACAGCGCTGCTGAGGTGGTACTCCACCTGGGCGAGTGGAATAACGTTTGCTGCGCCCCCGCTGGAGTGCCGCGGCACTGGTGTGGACGCCCTGGTCCTATAGTGCGCTCTTATCGGCCTCCAGAAGTGTCCCACAATGCCTGTTCTGGCCACTCTGGTCATCACTTTGAACTCTACTGCCCTGCCCTCAGATGACCAACCATCAGACCTGCCCTTTAAATTCTTTAGGCATTTTGAAAATCCCCTTCCTGTTTGCTCAGCCAGGCGTGGAGTGCTCTCATCAGCGAATCTTTCCAGGTGACTATGCCTCCACGAGCCAGGCAGTCCCCAATATGGAGCAATGGTGAGGTGCTGGACCTCATCAGTGTTTGAGGGGAGGAAGCTGTCCAGTCCCAGCTGCACGCCAGCCGCAGGAATTATGGTACCTTTGGGCAGATATCAAGGGCCCTGATGGAAAGGGGCCATGACCGGGACGCACTGCAGTGCAGAGTTAAAGTGAAGGAGCTGCGGAATGCCTACTGCAAAACCTGTGAGGCAAACAGCCGCTCCGGTGCTGCCCCTGCGACCTGCCGTTTCTACAAAGAGCTGGACGCGATACTTGGGGGCGACCTCACCTCCACTCTGAGTACCACCATGGACACTTCAGAGCCCAGTTCAACAAGGCAGGAAGAGGAGCAGCAAAGCGGGAGCGAGGGTGCTCCAGCGGAGAAAGACACCCCAGCATCCCTAGATGCATGCAGCCAGGAGCTGTTCTCAAGCCAGGAGGAAGGTAGCCAGTTGCGGCAGCCAGTGCTTGGGGAAGGACAAACACCAGAGGAGGTTCCCGGTAAGCAGCTTTTATTTTGGGAAGGAAGTTACTTGGTGCAGGCTCTGGGGGAGAGGAGGGTTTCGGCTGCATGCATGCCTAGATGTGGAATAGGGCGTTGATGTGCTCTCTCACATCGTGGTAATTGGCCTCAGTGATCTCTTCAAAGATCTCAGCCAGAACCTGGGCAATGCTCTTGCGCAGGTTTCTTGGGAGAGCCACTGTGTTCCTTGTCCCAGTAAGGCTAACTTGTCCGTGCCACTGTGCCGTGAGGGGCGGAGGGACCATTGCTGCACACAGGCAAGCTGCATATGGGCCAGGGCGGAATCTGCATTGCAGTAGAAGACCCTCCCTTGCTTCCCAAGTCACCCTCAGCAGCGAGATATCTTCCAGGATGAACTCTGTGGAAAATGTGGGGACAGTGTTCAGTATAGGGAGCCCCTGCCACTGTTGGCTCTCCCCAAGGCACAGAAACCCAGAGGACAGTTCAGCCGTGAAACAATCAGTCACGCTTGACCCTGTGCTTACTCACCATTTTGGGGCTCCTGTGGGTTATGTGCGCTTGTTTTGGGATGGGCAAATTATGCTATTGTGTAGACTGTACTTGCCCTTAAGTATGGGGGAATCATTGCTCTGTCTGGTGTGAACAATGCTGCCTCTGTTAAGTGTTGCATTTTGCCTTTACAGATGCAACCTTGAGATCTCAGCTATCCATGTTATCACTGGCTGAAAGACTCCAAAGAATCAGAAAGAGGCCATTGTGACAGGGTCGATCCAGATGGCTATAGGAGAGTAACAGAAGGCAGATATATTAGCCCCAGGCTAAGTAGGTCCCTTTTCCCTGGGTTAGGTAACAGGGAAGGTTTCAGAACAATCAGGAACCTTCTCGAGACAATTAAGACAGGCTGATTAGAACACCTGCAGCCAATCAAGAAGCTGCTAGAATCAATTAAGGCAGGCTAATCAGGGCACCTGGGTTTTAAAAAGGAGCTCACTTCAGTTTGTGGTGTACATGTGAGGAGCTGGGAGCAAGGGGCACTAGGAGCTGAGAGTGAGAACGCGGACTGTTGGAGGACTGAGGAGTACAAGCATTATCAGACACCAGGAGGAAGGTCCTATGGTGAGGGTAAAGAAGGGGTTGGGAGGAGGCCATGGGGAAGTAGCCCAGGGAGTTGTTGCTGTCGCACAGCTGTTCCAGGAGGCACTCTAGACAGCTGCATTCCACAGGGCCCTGGGCTGGAACCCGGAGTAGAGGGCGGGCCCGGGTTCCCCCCCAATCCTCCCAACTTCTGGTCAGACACAGGAGGAGTTGACCTGGACTGTGGGTTCAGAAAAACAGTCAAGCTGAGGGCTGCCATGAAGCTCCAAGGCGAGCAAATCTGCCAATAAGCACAAGACCCACCAAGGTAGAGCAGGAACTTTGTCACACCATGTAGATGCAAGGAAGACATGTTGCATGAAGTAATGCAGCATTCAAGTAATGAAAATCGAAAAGTGCAGGAGTGGTGGGACAGTGAAAGGAGGATCCGCCAGCAGAATGAGGAACGCCGGCACAAAAGCATGGTGCTCCGGCAGCAAAGCATGGATCAGCGGATAAGCATAATGGAACGCCAAGCAGACTCGATCCAGGCGCTCGTAGTCATGCAGGCGGAACACTATCGTGCCCAACCCCGCCTGCAGCCCTTGTCCCAAAACTCTTTCCCTTGTGCCCTCATGTCACCTCTAACCCACTTTCCCCAACATCTGGGTTCTTACCACCATCAGCTGCCTCCAACACCTGTAGCTTCACCACCCAGCCCTGAAAACTAAGACCCTTTCCCTCTGCACTCAACCCCCATCACCATGTGGTATAGCCAGCCAGAAGTGCAGCACTCATTGCACAGCACTCCAGACAGGAAGGCTGAGAATGATTACAGGACATACACAAATCTGTGATTGTACCATTCCCCACCCCACCCCCTTGCCCTTTCCGTTTCCCAAGCAGTTGTGTTTCTTTTCAATAAATGAATAAATTGATTTTTTGGCTTTGGAAACATTCTTTATTATTGCATAAAGTAAAAGATACCTTAGCCCAGGAAAGAAACAGGCACTGCAAGTCAGCATAGCAAACACACAGATTCCTACTAATACTGGAACCACTGCACTTCACTCCCGTGAAGGGCACCAGACATTACTGGTGGCTTTCAGCCTCAAATTGCTCCCTCAAAACATCCCTAATCCCTGCAGCCCTGCGCTGGGCCCCTCTAATAGCCCTGCTCTCTGGCTGTTCAAATTCAGCCTCCGGGTGTTGAACCTCCGAGTTCCATGCCTGAGTGAATCATTCACCCTTCCCTTCACAAATGTTATGGAGGGTAGAGCATGCGGATATAACCGTGGGGATGCTGTCATCAGCCAGGTCCAGCTTCCCATACAGAGAGCGTCAGCGGCCCTTTAAACAGCCAAAGGCACACTCCACAGTCATTCTTCACCGGCTCAGCCTGTTGTTGAACCGCTCCTTGCTGCTGTCAAGGCTCCCTGTGTAGGGTTTCATGAGCCATGGTATTAAAGGGTAAGCGGGGTCTCCAAGGATCACAATGGGCATTTCGACTTCCGCTACGGTGATCTTATGGTCTGGGAAAAAAGTCCCAGCTTGCAGCTTACTGAACAGGCCAGTGTTCCGAAAGATGCACCTTTCCAGGCCAGTCTGCCTTAATGTCAATGAAACACCCACGGTGATCCACAAGCGCCTGGAGAACCATAGAGAAATAGCCCTTCCAATTAACATACTCTGAGGCTAGGTGGGCTGGTGCCAGAATTGGAATATGTGTGCCATCTATCGCCCCTCCGCAGTTAGGGAAACCCATTTGTGCAAAGCCAGCCACAATGTCATGCACATTACCTAGAGTCACGGTTCTTCTGAGCAGGATGCGATTAATGGCCCTGCAAACTTGCATCAACATGATTCCAACAGTCAACTTCCCCACTCCAAACTGGTTAGCGACCAATCGGTAGCTGTCTGGAGTTGCCGGCTTACAGATTGCAATAGTCACCCGCTTCTCCATCATCAGGACAGCTCTCAATCTTGTGTCCTTGCGCTGCAGGGTGAGGGCGAGCTTCTCCCACAGTCCCATGAAAGTGGCGTTTCTCATCCAAAAGTTCTGCAGCCACTGGGTTCTCATCCCAGACTTGCATGACTATGTGATCCCACCACTCAGTGCTTGTTTCCCGAGCCCAAAAGTGGTGTTCCACTGTGGTGAGCATGTCTATGAATGCCACAAGCAAACTCATGTCATATGCGTTACTCGAGTCAATATCATCGTCTGAGCCCTCACTGTCATTTTGGATCATAAGGAATAACTCGACTGCCAAACGTGAGATGCTGGCGAGACTCGTCAGCATACTTCTCAGCAGTTCGGGCTCCATTCCCACAGACCAAAAGGGAAGACAAAGCATGCAGTACAAAAAACTTTGAAAGATGGCGCCAAATGTGATCAGAAGCACAGGGATTGCTGGGATGCAAAGCGATGCATCATGGGAGGTTGGGACAGGACCCAGAATGCCCCCCTGCTCCCTTCCCACAAGCCACAGCTCCAGAATGAGAAGAGGTGCTCTGTGGGATAGCTGCCCATAATGCACCGCTCCCAATGCTGCTGCGAGTACCACAAATGTGGCCATGCCAGTGCACTTGTTCCTGTCAGTGTGGACAGACTGCAGTGCTTTCCCTGCTGCGCTCTCCGAAGGTGGGTTTAACTCACAGCGCTCTACATCTGCAAGTGTAGCCATGCCCTAACACTATTGTTAAGGATGCGAGTATAACTGTATTTGTAACTTGTGCATAACTCTGTATAGAATTTCTATATGCTTGGGTAATCATAACTTTAGTAACTTTAATAAAACCTGTAAAATAGACTAGACTTTGTACTGAATGTATGTGTGGTCACCACCCTTGGTCTTTATGTGTTCCTAGAGACTAACTCTGAAGCAAGGAGCAGAGGGAACTTTCACTCTGATAAGCTTGAAACTGTAGCTGCCAGAGCCGAACCCATGGTGGTGTAACACCACATTACAAAATTCACTTTAAATAAAAGGCTTATGACGAAGCGGGACTGTTCTTAATGTTTCCTCTGAATATTGTGGGGGTGCCTCAGTTTCCCCTATGCAGTTCTTAAGCATCTAGGTGGTGGGATAAGGGTGTAAGATCATTGCAGAGCCCTAAAGGGCAGGTGTGTGCAGGGGTCTGGACACAGAGAATGGCCGACACCCTGTTTCCTGGCAACTGATGGCCTGGCCCTTCCCCCCTGCAAGGTGAGAGCTAAAGGGTTGGACAACAAAGGAATCAGGTGATCTCCTGGCCCTGGAAAGGGACAAAGCCCAGAGGAGGAGGGGCTGGAGAGAGTTTCAGTTTGGGGCTGGCTGGGGACATGGAGTGAAGTGCAGAAGTGGTTGTCTGGCTCACTGCCCCCCAAAATGGACCCAGCTGAGGGGTCCTGTTCTCTGCACCTACAAGCTCTGTTTTAGGCCATGTTCCCGTCGTCTAATAAACCTCTGTTTTACTGGCTAGCTGAGAGTCATGTCTGACTGCGAAGTTGGGGGGTAGGACCCTCTGGCTTCCCCAGGAGCCTGCCTGGGCAGACTCGCTGTGGGAAACGCATGGAGGGGCAGAGGATGCTGAATGCTCCAAGGTCAGACCCAGGAAGGTGGAAGTTGTGTGAGCTGTGTGTCCTGGAGACAGGCTGCTCCCAGAAAGGAGACTTCCCCAGAGTCCTGACTGGCTTCGTAGGGAGCAGTTCCAGAGCATCGTCTGGGGACTCCGTGACAAGGCTACATTGGTAGGAGCATTGCCAGCAGATCTAGGGAAGTGATTATTCCCCTCTATTTGGCACTGGTGAGGCCACAGCTGGAGTACTGCATCCAGTTTGAGCCCCCCCACTACAGAAAGGGTGTGGACGAATTGGAGAGTCCAGTGGAGGGCAATGAAAATAATTAGGGGGCTGGGGCACATGACTTACAAGGAGAGGCTGAGGGAACTGGGCTTGTTTAGTCTGCAGAAGAGAAAAGTGAGGGGGGATTTGATAGCAGTCTTCAACTACCTGAAGGGGGTTCCAAAGAGGATGGAGCTCGGCTGTTCTCAGTGGTGGCAGATGACAGAATGAGGAGCAATGGTCTCAAGTTGCAGTGGGGAAGGTCTAGGTTGGATATTAGGAAAAACAATTTCACTAGGAGGATGGTGAAGCACTGGAATGGGTTACCTAGGGAGGTGGTGGAATCTCCATCCTTAGAGGTTTTTAAGGCCCAGCTTGACAAAGCCTTGGCTGGGATGATTTAGTTGGGGTTGGTCCTGCTTTGAGCAGGGGGTTGGACTAGATGGCCTCCTGAGGTCTCTTCCAACCCTAATCTTCTATGATTCATGTCATGTTAGTTCCACAGGTGTTAAATGTTTTCACTACACCATAAACAGGAGACACTTTGATCTAGAAAATAAGATGTTTCAATCTGTATTAAGCAGCTACTGCCCTTAATATTTTTCAAAATAAAATTAAAATATTTTGAATGTTATGGCATAATATGCCATATTATATGACGTGACATGAGAGGCCATGTTGTATGCAGTGGTGTTGTAACCTTCAGTCCTGAAGAAGAGCTCTGTGTAAGCTCAAAAGCTTGTCTTTCTCTCCAACAGAAGTTGTTCCAATAAAAGAAATTCCCTCACCCACTTTGTCTCTCACAAGAGGACATGCCATAGCGTGCACTGCATGTCATGAAATAAGGTAAAAATAATCCAAATCATACAACAACAGAAAAAAAGAAATAAAATAAATGCCTAAACAATTTAAGAATTTGTGTTTCATTTCAAGAACGTTTGGTTTTGTTCCAATGCAGAATGAAAACAAATTTTGAAATGTCAAGTGAAATGGAAATTCAGTGTTTTGACTGGACCTGCTCCTGCATAACCCAGGCCAGAGAGTCTCACCCCCTGATTCCTGCATCCAGCCCATCACAGAGCTGCTCAGGACATAGGCACTGATTCCATGGGTGCTCCAGTGCTGGGGCGGCACTCAGGAAACAGCTCAGCGCACTGAGGGGGCAGAGGGCCAGGCTACGGCCAAGGCAGCTGGACTCACTAGCTGGGGCTGGCTGATCCAGTGCTGGTTGTTCCCAGCCTGGGCCGGGCCCCCACCCCCAGGCACAAAGCTCTCTGCATCTCCAAGCCCCACACGCCGGGCCTGGGGCAGTTTTGCCTGGCAAAGCACCTGGGCCAAGCTGGAATTTTGGTGGGTGTCCCAGCCAGTAACTTCTGAACCACCCCACTGGAGAACTGACCCTGGCCCTCCGAGCTGCCACCAGCACCTGGAAGAGGGTCATGCTTCCCGAGGGGTGAATTTCACCAGCACAGCAGCAACTGCAAGAGCAGCTCCCCCTGTAGCTGAAACCCGCTGGGTTATTTGCTGGGAGAAGCTGGAGGCAGGAGGCCCTGGATGGAGGAGGAGAAGGAGTGGGGTGCACTTGGGGGAGTGGGTGGAAGAGGTGGGCCCTTGGTGGAAGAAGTGGAGTGGGGGCGGGGCCTGAGGCAGAGTGGGGGTCAAGCACCCCCAGGAAAATCAGAAAGTCGGCGCCTCTGGCTCAGGAAATTATTTTTCTTTCCCCACTGTGAAATTTTTTTTAAGGGGGGGGGGCGGTGTTTAGAACTTTCAGGTTTTTGTTGAGGAAAAAAAAAAACAAAAAAAAACCCCACACATATCTGAGGGTTTTCAGTGACAAAAATATTTAGTGAAAAGGTTTTGTGAAAATTAAAAATAAAAATCCTATTTCCAGCCAGAAATGTTTATAAAATTCCATTTCAGTTCTTTCATAAACAGAATTTTCCAAACATTTTGGTTCCATGGGAAATTTCTAATTTCATGTTTCTGAAATTTGAACAAAAGTCAGAAATTTCTCACAGGTAAAAAAATTCTAGTTGATCATGAAGCTCCCTGCAGCCTGCCAGGTTTGGGGGTAGCAGAGACTTCAGAGTGAGAGTTGCTCAAAAACTATCCAGACTCTTTCTGTGACAGAAAATTGGGGGTTTGATGGAACAAAAATTTTAGCAGAGAGTGTGTGCTTTAGTCAATTTTTTTTTTTTTTTAACATCAAAGTCCCCCAAATTTAAAATTTTCAGCCAAAACCCAGATTTTGGCTATTTTTAAAATTCTATTGATTTTTAATTTTTTTTGGCAGTTTTTGAACCAAAAGTGTTGGGGTTACATTGAAAAGTATAAATTTTCCACTGAAAACTTCAACAAAAACTAGAACAAATATTAGTTTCCACTGAAATTTTCTATTGAAAAAAATTGCCATTTTCTGTCCAGCTCTGCTCAAAGCCAGCCCAGAGGTGGTCAAAATTTTTCGTTCCGCAACATCTTTGGATGAAAAACAGACTATTTTTTCCAACAAAAGAAGTTTCCAGTTTTTGTTTCTCTCCGGTTTTTCCTTTTTTCCCAGTAGCAAAATAGTAAATGGGGGAAAGCGGGAGCAGGAGGAGAGAGGAGAGGATGGGAAAAAGCAGAGCGAGGAGGGGGCAAAAGAAAAGGCAAAGATTTAGATTTTCAGTTTGGGTTTTGTTGGACAATTTGGAATACTTTTGCAAAAAGAATTTTTTTTTAAAATATTTTCAGTTTCTTTAAAAAATAAAATTCAGTGGAAAAGATTTATGATTTTCTGGACAGTTCTGCCCAGAGCTTCCACAGTGGGCAGGAAGTTTGGATAATAATGCAACTCACCCAGCGAGCGGATGCTCTGGTAATTCTCGTACATGATGTCCCTGTAGAGCTGCTGCTTCTCCTCATCCAGCAACAACCACTCTGCCTCACTCAGACTCACAGCCACATCCTCAAACTGTACTGGCTCCTGCAACCACAAAATCATCCACCTTAGCACAGGCCACTCCAAGGCTACCCCTTGCTCACTAATGCTTGTGCCAGACACTAGCCCTTCCCTCCCAACCTCTGCCATCCTCCTGCATCCCACTTAGCGCCAGCTTTTCCAGGGCCAATCCCTGAAATCAGGGGATCAAGCACAAAAGCAGGTCAGGGCCAAGTGCCGAGGAAACAGGACCCACAGAATTTGGGTGTGCATGGTGGGGTTTGAATCCTGACAATAGTACTAGTCCATTACTAGATGGAAATGGTAGAATTATCAATAATAATGTAGAAAAGGCAGAAGTGTTCAATATTTCTGTGCTTTATTGGGAAAAGAAAAACAGATGATTTAGTCTCATCATACGAGAACACTCTTTCCGTTAGTATCCCTGGAGGATGTTAAACAGAAGCTATTTGTAAGACATTTGTAAATCAGCAGGCCCAGATAATTTGCATCCACGAGTTTTAAAAGAAGTGGCTGAGGAGCTCGCTGGACCGTTAGTGTTGCTATTCCATAAGTCTTGAAGCATTGGGGAAGTTCCAGAAGACTGGAAGACAGCTAATGTGCCAATTTATAGAACAGGTAAATGGGATGACCTGAATAATTATAGGCATGTCAGCCTGACATCAGTCCTGGGCAAGATAATAGAGGGGCTGATATAGGATAATAAATAATTAAAACAGGATAATGTAATTCATGCCAATCAACATGGGTTTATGGAAAATAGGTCCGGTCAAATTATCTTGTTTTTTGTTTTATGAGAGTTCAGGTTTGGATGACAAAGGTAATAGTGTTGACATAATATACTTAGACTTTTGTAAGGCATTTGACTTGGTACCACACAACATTTTGATTAAAGAACTAGAATGGTATAAAATTTACATGGCATACATTAAATGAATTAAAAACTGTCTAACTGCTAGGTCTCAAAATGTAACTGTAAATGGAGAATCATGATCAAGCGGGCGTGTTTTCAGTGGGGCCCACAAGGATCGGTTCCTGGCCCTACGTTATTTAACATTTTTACCAATGACCTGGAAGAAAACAAAAAATCATCACTAATAAAATTTGCAGATGATGCAAAAATTGGGGGAGCGGTAAATGATGAAGAGGACAGGTCACTGATACAGAGCAATCTAGATCACTTGGTAAACTGGGTTCAGGCAAACAATATGCATTTTAATACAGATAAATGTAAATATATACAACTAGGAACAAAAAATGGAGGCCATATTTATAGGAGTGGGGACTGTATCCTCAGAAGCAGTGACTGAGAAAGATTTTGGAGTCGTGATGGGTATTCAGCTGAACACGAGCTCCAAGTGTCACGCTGTGGCCAAAAGAGCTAATGTGATCCTGAGATGCATAAACAGGAATCTCGAGTAGGAGTAGAGAGGTTATTTTACCTCTGTATTTGGCACTGGTGCGACCATTGCTGCAATACTCTGTTCAGTTCTGGTGCCCACAGATCATGAAGGATGTTTGGAGAGGGTTCAGAGAAGATCCGTGAACATGATTAAAGGATAAAAAAAACGTTCCTTATAGTGATAGATTCAAGGAGCTCAATCTACTTAGCTTAACAAAAAGAAGAGGTGACTTGACCACAGTCTATAAGTATTGACATAAGGAAGAAATATTTAATAATGGACTTTTCAGTCTAGCAGAGAAAGGTCTAACATGATCCAATGGCTGGAAGTTGAAGCTAGACTAATTCAGATTGGAAATACAGTGCAAATTTTTAATAGTGAGGGTAATTAACCATTGGAATAATTTACCAAGCGTGAGGAGTGGATTCTCCATCACTGACAAATTTTAAATCAAGACTGGATGTTTTTCCTACAAGTTCTGCTCTAGGAATTATTTCAGGGACGTTCTCTGGCCTGTTAGACAGGAGGTCAGACTAGATGATCACAATAGTCCCTTCTGGTCTTGGAATTTATTAATCTTAGTGTGGGGAGATGGTGTTCGTAGCCACATCAAATTACCATGTTGTTTTCTGTGCTCTACAAAGTAACTCTGGTGAGGAGGTGACTTGCATGTTAGCTTGAGGCCCTCCAATTTGGAGGGCACATTCTCTGGGAGACAGCCACCCTTACACAGTGAATTTAAAGAGCAGGCTGGCTTGTTTCCATGAGGCCCATAATTTTGTAGAGCACCTTCACTACAAGATAGCCGCCCTTACAGAGTGAATCACAAACTTTCATAGAAAATCAACACCGGGTGGGGTTTAACTCAAACCAGTCACGATACTGCAGGAGAGAACCCTGAGATATCACTATTATAAGGGAGACTTTAAATGAGAGCAGACTGTCTCCAACTCTCCCTCAGGGCATCTCAGACACACCTGTGTTAAGATGCCCCATGTGTGGGGAATTCATTCCTTCAGAATTTCCTGACTAGCAGCACTGGTAGCTCTCGCTAGTCAAGGTCTCTCCCCTTGACGCTTCTAAGGTTGTCAGGGCCACATGAGTCTCCAAGCACTCAGATGTCCATGAGTGGCCACTAACTTGGGGCATGACAGTTTTTAGTTGTCCAGCTGGGAGACGGGTGGGGCCTGGTTTCCAGGGGCGATGTGCTAAAGATAACACAACTGTAGCTGGGGCGGTTGACTCATGTTGGGCACCCAAATTCTGAAGCACCCACTCTCCATGAACATATTGGACATGAACACTCCTGAACATGTTGGACAAAGACTTTACAGGGACAAATACAGGAACCCTGGCTCCCCTGTGGCTTCCACGGTTTATCTCCCCTTCCCACCCTGGTCCCTCACTGAGATAACTGGAGTTAAACTCTCACCTGTAGCCCCGGCCATTCGATCTCTGGCTGCCCCACCTGGAACCCCTCTGCCAGGGCCACTGCTTGGGCGCCGGTCTCGGGACCACATTCCCAGATCCAGCTCTGCATTTCCTCCGGCAGGATGGTCAGGAACTGCTCCAGGATCAGCATCTCCAGGATCTGCTCCTTGGTGCGGCTCTGCGGCTCCAGCCAGCGATGGCAGAGCTCCCGGAGGTGGCTGTAAACGTCCTGGGGCCCCTTGGCCTCCTGGTAACAGAATTCCCTGAAGCGCCTGCGCTGTGTCTCTGGGCTGATGCCATAGCGACGCAGGATGGTCGCCTTCACCTTCCCATAGTCACTTGTCTCTGTGATGTCTAGGCTACCAAAGGCCAGCTGGGCTTTCCCGGTGAGGTACGGCTCCAGTCGGGTTGTCCACTCCCCTCTCGGCCACTGGCAGGCATCAGCCACCTGCTCAAAAGTGGCCAGATAGGCCTCGATATCGTCCTCTGGTGCCAGCTGTGGCAGCTGCAGGGTTCCCCATGTAGGTGCTGGAGTTGGATTAACCTCAGCAGGGGTCTGCGGGGCTGACAGCTGCTCCTCTCGGCACGGTGCCGTCTCCTCCTTCGGCTCGATCCCAGCCTGCTCCAGACCCCTGGGTGACTCTCTGCCCCCCTGGGAGGTGGGGTTTTCACACCCACGTGCACAAGTCGGTGCTGGCACAACTCTGGGAGGGGGCGGCAGTTCTGGCTCTCCGTGCCCGAGGATGCAGGCCGGAGCCGGCCCCACCTCCGGAAGGATGCGCAGGGCCTGCAGCACCTCCTGCCAGACGTCCTCCCAGTGCTGCAGCATCTCCTTCTGCGACGCATACCGGGCCTGTTGTGGTGCCACCCATCTCAGCAGCTCCCCAATGGTGCCGGACTGCACCACAATAGGCAGCCCGCCCGCCCGCTCCAATCCCGCATCTGGTTCGGGCCCAGCTGAGGCCTGCTGCTCCGTCAGCCCAGCGGGGCACACCGACTGCTCCACCTGGATCTGAAACTGCAGGTCCAGGGCCCCCTCTGCCCCCTGCCCTGCAGCCATGGCTGCTCCCTGGGGTGTCCTTATCCCAGCAGGGGATGAGCCCAGACCCCAGGCCTTTCTGGCTCATTCATGCCCCTGGCAGGAAGCATCCAGCCTCCGGCTTCCTACCCCAGTGTCCCGTTTTTGACACCAGGTGATCCGGATGGGGGATCAGGTGCGAGGGCCCAGAAGCACAAACTGTCTTGCAAAACCAGAGCAACCTCCTGGAGCCGGCAATGCTGCTGTCTGGAAAGAGGGGCTTCTCCCGCAGCTCCTGAGAGGGCAAGGGAAACACAGACAGTGAGGGGGCAATTCCATAGTGCCGAGGGATTTGAGCGCTTAGCTCAGTTTGCTAACTCCTGGTAAAAACAACAATGGCCGAGTTGTCCCTGGGATTGTGCCTCATGTTTGCTAACACTCCTGTTCTCCTAGTGTGGACGCAGCCTTTCGTGCCAGAAAAACTGTGTGTTCTTACAGCCAGCTAGTGACCACCTCTCCTTGTTAGAGAATCGTTCCAGAGGGGGGATAGGGCAATGAGGGGCACGAGCCAGGGACCTGGGAAAGCCGAGTTCAGTTCCCTGCTCTGTCAGACTCGGACCCTGGGACAGCCACTCTAGCTTCGTCTACATGAGGTAGGGTTTGTGGTATGATTACATCAGTATAGCTACACCGCCAATACCCTGTCGTGGGGATGCAGTTAAGTTGGTATAAAAGTGCTTACACTGATATAGCTTATGCTGGTTTGGTGTGTGGTCTAAACTCTACCAGTGTAACTGCATCTACACTAGAGCATTTACTGGTATAGCTCTGTCGGTAATAGTATCGCACCCTCCATCCCCCTCCCAAGCTGTGCTAGTAAAGCTTTGAAGGGTAGACCAGACCTTGGTCTCTCTGTGCCTCAATTTCCCCACCTGTATCTTGGTGACAGTCGGACTGGCCTGGTTCACAAGCGTATGTGAGGATAAATACATGAAGGCCTGTGGGATGCTCACACACTATGTTAACAGGGAGCATATTTCCTCCTCACTTATCTTTGAACAAGGGAGTGCGTGAAAGTTCCCAATACTGGCAGAATTTGCATGGTTCATACCACATATGCAGAGCTTCCAGAGAAGAAGTCATAACTGAAAGACCCGTGCCTATCTCCCCCACTCATACCCCCTGCTCTCTGCCCTGATCCAGCACAGACAGGCCCCTGTCTAACCTCCCCATCCACCTCCCATTCCCTCAGCTCCCTGCCCCACCCAGCACAGACAGGCTCCTCCATGCCCAGTGCTGGGTGACATGGGGTTATATCTAGGTTATTAGGGTGTATCTCCATGGGGAAACTGGCTGGTGGGAATGTCAACAACCCCTCCTTTTGTACAAGGACCCAGCGGAGGGGTATGCACCAGCTCTAACAGCATTCAACAGATCTGAACCCGCAGGTGAGGAGAACGGGATCCCAGCATCCATGCCTCCCTTCCCCACTTCCCTACTGTACTCACGCACATCCCCTCATGAGCCTTTGCCTCCTCACATATGAGCCCGCCTCTCACTGTATCCCTTCTGACACACACACGTTCCCTCACCCACGTGGCCACCCCTCACCCAAACACGCTTCTCATATGCACCTTGTTTTAGTGTCACCCCCACGTGTTCTTTGCCTTCACCCCTCTGGCATGTCCTCCACACATGCTCCTGCGCCTCACAGACCCTCTCCCCACTAAAATATTGTCTTTGTAGTCACATGCTCTCTTCCCATTTCTCTCTCTCACACACACACACACTCTGCCCATCTGGCACTAGGGTGACCAGATAGCAATTGTGAAAAATTGGGACAGAGGGCGGGGGGGGGTAACAGGGGCCCATATAAGACAAAGACCCAAATATTGGCACTGTCCCTATAAAATTGGGACATCTGATCACCCTGTCTCAAACACACACACTGTTGGAACAATTGGGGCCTTGCAATTATTGTGAGCCTAACTGTGAAAAAGTAAACAAAAGTTTTACAAACATGTTACTATAACCTCTAACAATATATGATGGTGGGAAAAGGTGCAAAAGGAGGACAGAAAGCCTGAATTAATCTAAACCAAAAGACCTACTGATATAATTCAAATCTGTGTTACAGGCATGCCTGGGACCAGAAGTCAATGAACCAAAAATCGGTGTGTCAGATATTGGGCCTCTTGGTGGACAAAATAATGAGGGGATGGGCTATTCCACCCACCACTCCCCTTTTGGGGTCTGTGACAGGGTGTGCATACCCTGCACTAGGCAAGAAAGGGTTAATCCCAAACTGTGGGCGAAGGAAGTCCCACCCCTCAGACCTTTCTAGGCATGCTCCGACTGCCACTTTAGTATAAAAGGGAGCAGCCCAGCTCATTCTAGGCTGACTGCTGAGGGGGATGGATGCTTGGTGGAGGCTCCAGTCCAGTCCAGTCCAGAACCTGCTTTAGCACCTAACTGCGGGATCCTGAGGACCAGATCAGAGACCTGTTGTTGACGGTGGGCTGACTGGAGTCAGAATCCCAGGGAGTGACCCGTGCCAGGAGCCCGGAGACCCTGAGATGTACAGATCCCGGTTTCAAAAGACACAGTAGAAAGTGGCCCGGGGGGCTGGAGTGAATGGTATCTCCCACCTGAGGAAGGTCAGCGTGTTGCAGTAGGATCTCTGCTGACTAGGTGTTGTCCACACTCATTGCTGACAGGACCCTGGCCAGGACCTGGTGGAGCAGGGAGGGCCTGGGCCTCTTACCCCAGCTGTCAACCTCCCCTCCTGAGTGGCCCCTGACTCTGGCTGTTAGGCTGTACAGCCTTGCACCTGAGGGCAGCCATATTTACTCTAACCTGTCAGCTGTGCTGTCTTAAGCATGAGGACAGTCTGGTGCACTGTAACTGCAGTGCCCCCTCACCTAAGATCTGACCCAAAAGGGGGATTGGGTGTGCATATACTGCAATAAGGTCCTTTTAAAAAAAGGAGAGAGATTTTTGGAGGAAAATTGGCAAAGGGGGATGCAGGCAGACTGCAAGAGAGAAGATCAGGAAGGATCAAGCTTTATCATGACTGCCTGACCGCATTGTCTCCTGGATGACCAGGCTTCTCCATGACACTGTTGGGCCTTTGTCATCCTGATCCTAAGAGATTTTTCTGACCAGACTCAGGCAAAAAAAGGGACTCAGATGATCACCTCCCCTGGGATGTAAGACTTTGTCCCCCCACCCCTAGGTGTTTTTTTCCCTCCCCATCTTATTTCTTCTCTTTCCTATCCCTCTTCTTTTGCCTTCTGTTTAACAAGAGTCTGGCTTAGTCAGCCAAGGCCGTATATTTTGCAATATGGCTGTAAACTTCTCACCAAAGAGGCAGCTAAAAGCAATGCCCTAAACAGCTCAATACTGGTACAAGTTTGCCAAGTCTTAGTGTGACTTGCAACATGTGTTTTTTCCAACAGTGAAACTGCAAGTCAAAATCAACAATGACAAAGACAGAAACTGCACATTCTATCTCTGCTGTCCTTTTCTGTCCCCTGATGTGTGCATGTCTTGCTTTTGCCTTTAATAAAAAAATCAAACTTCACTAACAGTTATTACTATCTTTAATACCATCTAAAGATCTGTCAAATGATGGGGGAGGGAACATTCCTTTTTAGAAACTCCCTCCTGCTTCTTTTAAAAAAAGAAAAAACAGTGTTAAAATAAAAGCCTTATTTGGTACTTTACATGTCAAACCTTTAACTATATTGTCCCTTCCTTTTTTGTATCTTTATTAAAGGATTAAAAGAATGTTTAATGGGGTATTTGCCAGGGTACTAAATACTATTACTACCAAAACCCTGAACTTTGTTTTAAAATGTTTACTATTGGACACCTGTGAGTCTTTATGTCCATATATTCCAATAAATTAATGTAACACATACGGTCTCTGCTGGCTGGCTGTCTCTCTAACACACACATTGCCTGGCACATGTTCTCTCCCTGTCGTAGGCGATACACGCGCGCTCTTCTGCCCATTGCACAAACACACACAAGTCGCCTGGTGTGCACACACATGTGCGCTCTCTCCTGATCCCATGAGCACACATATGCTCTCTGTGCATCACATAGCCACACACTGCCTGACACACACACAGGCAACTCCCTGTCACATGCACACACATGCTCTCTACCAGTCACACACACACACAAACCCTCTGCCCTTGACACACACACACACACACACACGTTCTCTCCCTGTTACATGTGTACACACACATTCTGCCCATCACACAAGGACATATGCTCTCTGGCTGTCACACGGCGCACACACACGCTCTCTCCCTCTCACACACACACACGCTCTCCCCCTGTCTCTCTCTCACACACACACACACGCTCTCTCAGTCACAGGCGCCTGGGCTCTTTCTCACAGGTGGGGGCTCTCCTACCCCTCCTACTGGCCCTGTGCCACCAGGACTATTTTGGGCCCCCATTTCCCCCTCAAAGTACTATTGGCTTTATTTCCACAAACCAGATCGCCCCCCCCGGCTCCCACGGAGCCCCCTGTGAACGCCTCTGCTTCGTCCGGCCGCCAGCGCTGCTCCCAGCCTCCACCCGTCCCTCTCCCTGCGCGCCCCCCCCTGCCCCGTCCGCATTCACCCGCCCCGGCCGGGACCCCCCGGGCTGCCTCCCTGCCCTGCCGGAGCGCTGCCGCGGGGGGCTGGGAGCAGAGGTCGCTTTCAGCTCCCAGACAAAGGCAGAGCCAGAACCACAGGCTGAGAGCGGGTGGGAGACCCGGCCAGGCTGGGACTAGGGGGCCCGTGGTTACCTGGGCTGGGGAGTCACGCTGGGAACCGGGCCCCTAGGGCTGGGGGTGTCTGTCAGTCCGTCTCTTTCCCCAGGCTACGCTCCAGCTCAGCCCGAAGTTATTGGACCGGATGCGGAGGGTGGGGTTGGGGGGAGGAGACTTTTTCCCACCATGCAACTGTAGGGTGGTGGTGCTGCTCCTCGCTCGCTCACCCCCCAGCTTGCTCCCAGGACCTGCTGCCCAGAGGCGTCCCTTGCTCAGCTTTTATGGGGTGGGGTCAGCATGGAGGGTGTGCCGGGAGCTGAGGTGCAGCTGTCTCTGGTGGCTCTTTACACAGATTCTTTCAGTCCATCCTAAGGTAAAGATACCCCTGGGGTGGGGTGCAGGGGCTGTTTATACGGGGGTCCTTCAGCCAAAGCTGAGATGTTGCTAGCTCTGGGATGGAGGGTGGGGTCTGTTTATACAAGTTTTGTGACGCAGCTTATTCTGGGGTGCTGGGGACCCTTTAGCCAGGGATCCCTTGTCGGGCATTGAGATGCAGCTGATTCTGGGGTGGGGCGTTAGGGATGTTTGCACAGGGTCCCTCATCCCATAATGAGATGCAGCTGCCTCCAGGGTGGGCTGCAGGGGCTGTTTAACCGGGGATCTTTTGTCCACTGTTGAGTTGCAGCCATCTCTGGGGTGGGGCATGGCAGCTGTTTATACAGGAATGCCTTGTATGGTGCAGAGCTGCAGCTGATTCTGGGGTGGGATGTGGGGGCTGTTTAGGCCTGGGCTAAGATACAGACACTCTGGGATGCTGGGGCAGGCCTGGGGGCAGCCCAGTGCACCATTGCACTGACTCCAGCGTTTGTGTTTGTGTTGGCAGTATATGACCAGGAGGCACCTCCACTCACCCCCCAGGGTGAATAGCCAGCTCTAAACTGGCAGATGAGTTGCGACCAGGTCTCCCTGAGGGCTAAAGCCTGGAGTGATGCCAACTGCTCCCAGCCACTGTGGTTGGGAATAAAACCATCCCCACAATTAATAGCAGCTGGCCTGTGCTGCGACTGAGTCATCCCATCCTCAGGGACTAGCACAGACTAGGTTGGGGGAGGGGGTCAGGGCCCCATGAGTGCAGGGGCTGCCTCTGCCACCCTGCCCCTCCCCCAATGGCTGATTGCAGACCCAGGGCAGCACCAGGTGCCCAGTTCAGATCCCTGGCTCCCCAGCACCATGGCTCAGTGGCTGTCGCTGGCTCTGGAGCTCTCCTCACATTGATGGGGTCTCTCCACCATCGCAGAGGGGAGCTACTGGGGGCTAAGTGATCTGCCCTCATGCCCCCTCCTCCACGCAGACATTGATAGGGTTTCTGCCCCCGTAGGCTGGCTCTGCCCTACTGCCAGCACATTAGAGGGGTCTCTCCCCAGCACAGGGGGCCATTACAATTGTATGATAGGATCCTCATATAGGGTAATGCTTAGGAATGCAGAGAACTCTACGGTCAGTAGTTGCTTGATGAGAGAGGACTGTAGATGTGGCGGAAGGAATAAAACCAGACTGTCGCACTACCTTGGCTCTTTCTCTTATGCTAGAACACTGAGCATGGTGTCAGGAGTTAGTCTGCTCCTGCAGGTACCTGAGATTCAAAACTAAGAATATTGCAGAAAAACAAAACTCAAAGAGGAAACAATAATTAGACTTGTCAGGACTGAATTTTCTTTTTTCTAACTTCACTGGGTAATATCTATGTTTATTTTAAAGCTTTTTAGATTTTTGTCCATTTACGTTTCCACAATTGCACAAATGTGTGGGTTTTAAACTTTTTTTTTCTATTTTTATCAATTTACATTTTTGCAATTGCAGGAAATGGCATGTGTTTCAGACAATACTTATTTAATGACAGATGCTGAAATGCAAAAAATTAAAGTTTTATAACCATTAAAACACAAATTGTCTGTGTTACATAAGAATGGCCCTACTGGGTCAGATCAAAGGTCCATCTAGCCCAGTATCCTGTCTTCTGACAGTGGCCAGTGTCAGGTGCCCCAGAGGGAATGAACAGAACGGGTAATTATCAAGTGATCCATCCCCTGTCACTCATTCCCAGCTTCTGTCAAACAGAGGATAGGGACAGCATTCCTGCCCATCCTGGCTAATAGCCATTGATGGACCTATCCTCCATGAACTTATCCAGGTCTTTTTTGAACCCTGTTATAGTCTTGGCCTTCACAACATCCTCTGGCAAGGAGTTCCACAGGTTGACTGTGCGTTGTGTGAAGAAATACTTCCTTTTATTTGTTTTAAACCTGCTGCCTATTAATTTCATTTGGTGACCCCTAGTTCTTGTGTTATGAGAAGTAGTAAACAACACTTATCTCCTTTCTCTACACCAGTCATGATTTTATAGACCTCAGTCATATCTCCATTTAACTGTCTCTTTTCCAAGCTGAAAAGTCCCAGTCTTAATAATCTCTCCTCATACGGAAGCTGTTCCATACCCCTAATAATTTTTCTTGCCCTTTTCTGAACCTTTTCCAATTCCAATATATCTTTTCTGATATGGGGCGACCACATCTGCACACAGTATTCAAGATGTGGGTGTACGATGGATTTATATAGAGGCAACATGATATTTTCTCTCCTATTATCTGTCCCTTTCTTAATTATTCCTAACATTCTGTTTGCTTTTTTGACTGCTGCTGCACATTGAGTGGATGTTTTCAGAGAACTATCCACAATGACTCCAAGATCTCTTTCTTGAGTGGTACCAGCTAATTTAGACACCACCATGTTATATGTATAGTTGGGATTATGCTTTCCAATGTGCATTTCTTTGCATTTATCGACATTAAATTTCATCTGCCATTTTGTTGCCCAGTCATCCAGTTTTGAGAGATCCTTTTGTAGCTCTTTGCAGTCTGCCTGGGTCTTAACTATCTTTAGTAATTTTGTATCATTTGCAAATTTTGCCACCTCACTGTTTACTCCTTTTCCCAGATCATTTATAAATATGTTGAATAGGACTGGTCAAAATATACAAAGTAAATATCCTTAAATTGAATTCTGAGGGGTTCTCCAGCAGCATTTTTCTTATTTTGCCTATCTGTAAATTTCAGTTATAACCAGTGGCAATAATTTTTCATTGGTTTGTGTGCATTGGGAGAAATTGACGTTTACTGACATTTACCAATTAAAAATCTCATCCTCCCAAGCCTAACAAAAATCCTGGTGACATGTCAAATCCCTTTCCCTGAACAAGCAGACACAAAAGGAGATGTGTTCAGCCACTGGACATTCTTTAGATCACAACAGGAAAACTACAAAATTACAAAGGGGCTGGATAAAAAGGAAAAAATAAAAAGCAGCCACACTATTAGCTGTAATGATCAAGGGCTGCCGCATGCTCCAACAGCATCCGGATTATGTCAGCAGCAGACCAGGTTGACCCACGTAAAATCCTACAAGCACTCCAAAAGCACTTTTAACCAACACGAACAATGTCACACACCAAAGATATCTCTTCAACAAGTGTAATCAAGATTTCAATGGCAAAAGAACTACATTCAGGCTGAGTTAAGCTAGTTTGGTTGTTTGCCCTTTCAGAATGCTGAGTTGAGCAAAATTCAGACTTCTGAAAACCAGGAAATGAAAAGTTAAGGTTGCCCGTACAATCTTAATTCTGCCCTTTTTCAGTTGGGCAACTTTGTTTTTTCCTTTTTGTCCTTTAATAGCGTCAGATGGAATCCTGTGAATGAGCTGTAAAAGGAGCTTTTACATTTCAGCAATTGTGGGTTTGGCCAAGTAAAAAGGTATACCTGTTAACATGGTATATTGAGGCATTGCTAAAAGAGGACAGGGCTGTCTGATGACTATTCTACTGCGTGCACAGTAACCCTCCCCATAAAATAAAAACATATTCTCACAGACAACTTGAGTTGTTAAATCTTTATTGCAATCTTTATTGCATTCGGACTACAATAATTAGTGGCAGGTGTTCACCTGGGGCATGGCATCAGCACAAATTGCATTTCCTGGTTTTCAGAAGTTTGAGTTTTGCTCAATTCAGCATTCTGCAAGGGTCCGATATACCACCAAGCAACCATAACTCTGTGTTAATGTCATTTTCTGTCATTGAATTTCCTAGTTTTTTGAACTGTAAAATATATTGTTTTGGTAGGAGTTAGTAGTCATTTAGGCAGTTGTACATATCATGTCCTGCAATTTGCATCCTGAGCCAGCCAGCCCCTTGCTACACATCAGCTGGGCTCCTCTATACCTCTGACCCCCTGTTTTCCCCACTCCAACCTAGCTTCCTTCCCACTACTGTTTCCAGGCTCTCCTCTCCCCCCCCCGCCCCTTGCAAGGAGGAAATGCATATCCCTGAACTCCTCATTCCCTGATATAAAATGTTTCTACTGGCATTACTTATCCCCTCTGATAACCCAACTCACATGCAGTGCCTGGAATGAAGGACAGCTGTGTTACAGTGCAGTGGTGTTTGTGGTTGTGCTTCAGAGTGGTTGAAGGGTGGAGTTTATAGCAGGGCCAGAGAGAAATCCCAGACAGGGTTTCTGTTCCAAAATATTGACAGTTTTATGGTTGAGAGAGAGAACCTCTGTCCCCTGCTCAATAGATGGACTCCATCTTTGAGAAACACTGCAGGGTCAGAGCTCGTAATGTTTCTGTGACAAACACTACACTTTGTCCAGTCAGCCAGGAACCTTCTCATTTCCCGATTAATGTTCTTCCAACCCTTAGTAATGGCTGCCATATTGTCACTGCAGGAATTATGCAGACAATCAGGGCTTCTCTACACTTACTGGCCCAGCTCCACGGGTGCAGCTGTGCGGCTGTAGCACTTAGTGTGGATGCTACCTATGCCAATGGGAGAGCTTCTCCTATCAGCGTAGGTTCTCCGCGTCCCCGAGAGGCATTAGCTATGTCAACAGGAGAAGCGCTTTCTACACTGGGGGTTAGGTTTCCACACTGCTGAGCGATATAGTTATACCAGCATAAACTGGTAGTGTAGGCGAAGCCTTAGCCAGACTATCGGAGGTCCTGGACACAAATCTGTGATGCAGACCAAATCTGCTGTCCTCCATTGAAGGAGGCCCAGATCATTTCTGCCTGAGTGAATCACGACAAAGTCCGGTAGATTACAAGACATTAGTTAGGCCTTCTCTACACTGCAAAGTTTTGTCGGCAAAAGCTGTTTTTTGCCGACAAAACAGGGGAGGTGTACACGCTGCAAAGCTGCTTTTGGCAGCAAAACTCTGCTGTTTTGCCGACAAAATAAAACCACCTCAACGAGAGCATAAAAACTTTTTGCAGCCAAGTTAAAGTGACAAAGCCTCAGTGTAGACACTGCTGTTTGTT